AAAAAAAAAACTCTTAAAAAACAAAATACGTGTGATGTTACTCAAACCAGTTCTCGCCTTTGTGTTTCTGGTTTTCATGGAGACTGAATTTCGATATTGGTTTGGAGTTCAATGAATATTTATGAACTTAATAAATTCAGTCCTTAAAATGAACATGTTGAGGTAGTCTTATGATGGGACATAGATGTATGTTCCATTGCATAAAATCTTCTGTGTTGAACTGGGAGAGACTGAGCTGTTTCCTTTCGGCTCATGCCATGTGAGTATTCCGTGTTGTGACCCTCCAGCTGTCGCGAAGGCTGCCGTCACGAGGGAATTTGTGTGAGTCAGTTCAGTACACCCGAGTTGTGTGTGGCACGTTAAGTGACGTGACCTGTCGTTTAGGAACCATGAACAAAGGATTATTCAAGCAGACCTTGGGTAACCACTTTATCGGGGTAATATAGATGAGAGTTAGCTTAGGAACGAATGCCTGAAAAAGGCAAAAATTCCTTTCGACGCATAGAGTTTTGCTCTGCCTCGTGTGTAGTCGCTTGTCTTTTTTTTTATAAGAACTTATACTGCGTTCCCAAGCCACTTCCCTCCCAGAGAGAACCGTTATTATCAGTTGTTTTATTTCGGCTTTATTGAGGTATAATTGACAAATAAAATTGTATGTGTTCAAGGTGGTTTTTTTGTGTGTGTAATGAGAAAGTCAAATAGAACCGCTCCCTGACAGGCTGTCAGTGGCAACGTCCTGCCATGGTCACCAGCCGTCACCATGGTGGTCCTGCGTGTGCTGCCCTCTCTGCCGGTCAGGGTCTGGGGAGAGCCGGCTGCGTGTGCCCCTTGGTCCCTGTGAGCTGCTCGTTCTCAGCGGTCACTGGTAGAGAGCACTCTGCCGAGGGCGTGCCTTCCGTATTTCGTCGTGGCCGTTTTAGTTCCCCGTTGCGCTCTGTGTGCTGCTCTGTTTCTCACGAGCTTGCCAAGGGCTGCAGCAGGTGGCACGTGCGACACGGCCAGGCCAGGGTAGGAAGGAAGTCCGTCTGGAGCCGTCTCCCTACTCCGCGCCACAGTGAGGTCGAACGCCACCGATGAGACTGCGTCAGCCAGATGTTCCTGCTGTGGCTTGAGGCGTATAAATAAGTTGAGAGAAGCCCACACACATTTCTAAACCTTCCGATTTTCAGACCAGATATGGCTTTATTGCTAGCCAGGTTGATGTAGAGTAATTTCATACCAAGATATTGCGTCTTCTCCAGATGAGCAGATGTACTTAAAAAGCTATCACAAATATATGGGCAGTCACAAGTCAGTTATTGAATATTTATAAATTTAATTCTTCAGATGCATAAATTTTGTGAGGAAAATATCTTTAGAGGAATATTACTATCCTTTCATTGTTTTGATAGGAATAGGAGAGTAAGATTTTCTCTAGTTAATTACTGTCCACTTGAAATGTACCATGAGCTACACATGTCTAATTTCATGTTTTTTGGTAACTATATTTCAAAAAGAAAAACAGAACAGTTGAAATCTTTTTTGTATACAGTTAATTTAATCATACATATCTAAATTTCCACATGAGATCAATGCAACATTATTAGTGATATTTTATTATTTTTTATACTGGAATTTTAGAATTTGATGTTATTTTTCACTTAGCAATTTAGAGACTAAATTCCGTCTCTGTGTATTTGCTTCAGGGCGTATGTGCATTCAGGAGAAAGTCAGAGATAGAGAGAGGGAGAGTGAGAAATCTCTCGCCCCCTGGCTGGGGGGATGGCCACACTGCAGTCACTTCACTTCGCCTCCACTCTCTCGGTATGGGGCACACGTGCACATACACCCTGTGTGGTTTTCAAGTCACCGAGTTCAGGACTTGGACCAGAGAGACAGCGATGTGGGTCCAGCCATGTTAACTTCCACACATCCTGCTGGCTGTTGGGCTAAATCTTTGCCAGAAAAATTTTGAAAATGTGGATTCACTTTCCCAAGCTGTTCTAATTAAATTTAAACATTTTTTAGTAGTTGAATCAAGTATTCGTTTTTAAATTTAAAATTATATTTGTTAAAATCAAATAACCGTATTTTAAGTGCTCACTAGCCAATACAGCTAGGGAAATTTAAAAAACTGATAACAGCGAGAAAGGAATCAAATAAACTAAATTCTTTAAGATACTAATCATGCTACTTCACTATCTTTGTGTCCTGTATATGTCCTTGAACTTCCTCATGGGCAACATGTTCATTTACATTTAATAGGTGTTACAAATATATATGTTTAATATCTGTATACATTTATGGATGTCATATCCACACAGGGTGGTAGTGTATCTCAAAGTGATATGAAATACTGTTGTAAAGATTTCTTTGAGTCCTCTGTACCTTTTACTCAACTTACTGAATTGTAATTTATTTTACTTGTAGAACTTCTTAAAGCAAGGTTTACATTATATATTTAAAGTATATCTCTTATACTTTTCCATGGTTTCAAACTCAGAGACTTTTATAATGGCTCTAGTGTAATATGGGTTGTTAATTCACCTCAAATATAGTGTTAAACTGTACTTGTTAGATTCTTGTTTGCGTAAGGTACATTTAACTATATAATAATGTATTCTTGCATCTAATATCAAAACAAAAATCAATGTTATTGTCTAATTTTCTCTCTCTGAGAATAATACTCAAACACCCTAAGTGTGTGGAGTCCATTGAACTGTATTCTTAACATTGCATGGAAAAGGGCTTTTCTTAACTCAGCAGGAGCAGGTCTGTCCCGCATTCCTGTTGTTATTACTATTCACGTCCAACATCTCTTGTTATATTACAGGAGAGAAACCTTTCAAGTGTGACGAGTGTAACTTTGCCTCCACCACACAGTCCCATCTGACTCGACACAAGCGCGTGCACACTGGAGAAAAGCCCTACCGATGCCCCTGGTGTGACTACAGGTAACCACCCGTCACGGCACGGGGACTGCACCGCCATGGTGGATTGCAGTCCCGTTAGTCACCAGCAGGGCTTGCTAATTTGCCCGAATTTCAGACTTCAAGCATAATCTGCAATTAGGTTGGGAATTTATTTTAGTACCCAATTGTGACTTTTTGTTGAATAGACTTTATTGTTTAGAGCAGTTTTAGGTGCACAGCCAAATTGAGAAGCCAGTACAGTGATTTTCCACCTATCCCCCTGCATCACCAAATGCAGTGTCCCCCATCGTCAGTAGGAGTGGGGGTGCACATTACAGCTGATAAACCTGCGCTGACCCCTCACCAGCTGCAGCTCATGGTTTACAGTAGGGTTCACGGTAGTGTTGTCAAGCTGGGGTTTCTGTGAACTTACAACATGCATTTACCTTTATAGTGACCTCTTTTTTTTAGTTTTTTTTTTTTTTTTTTTTTTGCTGTAGGGAATGCGCACTCACTGGAGAGACAGAGAGAGATAGTGAGAGGGAAAGCGAGAAACAACCCCCCTGGGGTATGACCGCACCACAATCCCTTCTCCTTGTTTTGGGCACACACGCATGGAACTAGCGTGTTTGAAGCTGCTAGATCCAGGACTTGGACTGCAGTCAGCCATGTGGGGGTCCAGTGCCTTAACCACTATGCCACCTACTGGACCCACATTTTCTGTATCTTAACATTTATATCTTAAATCTTGTGTTATCTGAATTATAGATAATTATATTTTGTCCCTTAAAGAACCACTCCAATTAATTATTTAGCGCATTAAAAAGTATGTAAAATGCATATTATGAAAAAAAAAACATGCGTGGATTTTAATTTGCCCTTTTTTTGGCACCAAAATAAACTCTTACTTTAATTCTATTTTCCTACAGACTTTGAAATTCTCTCGTAGATGATAACTTACCTATGCATGAAGCACTCATTTAGTGAAGATGCTGTAAGAAATATTTCCTGCCTTTAATGATGTTGCAGTAAAAGTGACCCAGTATTAATAAATAAGTGTAAGGCAGAATCGGCTGTTCACTGAGGAGGCTGGGGAAGACAAGGAGCAGGATCACGCTGAGCCCTGAGCATTCCTCACAGGGAAGCGCCTCTCCACTGTGGAGTCAAAGGTGCACAGCCTCTCGTTTAAGAGGATGTAGAAAATTTCTGTGCAGGAGGCACCTTGGAAGTCAGACATTAGGTCTACTCCTGGGCACCCAGTGGCTGAGGAATGGCGGCCGGCGTGCAGAGTGACTAAGCAGCAGGGTAGGCTCAGTGCAGAAAAGCGTGAGATGTGGGCACTCAGTGGGCGCTCTTCGGGCCTGACCGGCGTTGAGAGGCGTAGCGGGAGGTGCCGTGCATTGAGGGGTGTAGTGGGAGGTGCCGTGCACTGGGCAGCTCGCAGTTAGTGCATCCCGTTAGAGTAAGTTCGGGACCCGTGGTGGTCGGAGGGACCCCATGCGTTTGCAGGAAGGTAATTGCTACCTGTCCTAGGAAGCCTGCACTCAGGAGTAAGAGCCTTCTGCACCCTGGAGCCTAAGATCTCCATTGTGGGTCCAGCAGGTAGCATGGTGGTTAAGGCCCTGAGTTCTCACCTGGCCGACCATGGCTGAGCCCAGACCAAGTAGTTTGAAAATCACAGCAGACACGTGTGTGGGCAAAGCCATCTCCCCTGGGGCTAGTTTAACACTTTCCCTCTCTCTGTCTCTCTTTGTCTCTCTTCAGTGAGCACACGTGCCCTGTGGCAAAAATCTTTTAAAAAAAATCTCCATTTTTCTTGCCACACTTGACAACATGGAAACATCGAGGGTGTGTCTTTAAATTTCAATTTTGTTGAACATTAGAATATAACATTAAACCCAAAGCCTTATTTTAAAAGCAAATTTTTGTATTCTTGTGTATGTAGCTTGTATATTCAGCAAATATATTGCCATAATCTCTATTAGCCACATTATTGCATTAAGTTTTATGTGAAAGGTCATCGAATAGTACCAAGATATTGCAGATATATTTCATTCATTAATTATTCATTCATTCAACATTTTATGAATTCTGTCTGTGTTTAACAACAGATTGTGTTTCTTGGAAATTTGGTAAAATGGTGATCCAATTAGAAGTGACATAGACATTTTAAGGTATATGATAATATGGCTTCTTTAAAAAAATAAACTTTATTGATTTTCTTTCTTTAGTAAGGGGGTCACATTACAGTTGTTTTCCCAGTAAAACACAGAAAAGCAATTTAAAAATTATAAAAATTATAACTATCATTCTTGGCTCCTAGGATTATATCCTTTTAGTTAGTGCTCTGTGCATAAGTTTCTTGTTGTCTTAGGGTTTTTTGTTTTCCTTTCTTTCTCTCTGGTTAAATTATACTTTTTTTTTACATTAATTTATAATATCCTTTCCATGTCAATAATCATTCTCCTGTACAACCATGGTTTTCAAACCTATTTTTAGGCAGCAGAACTATTCTCTCTATATATAAAACACCATAAATAAAATAAAGGGATCTATATTGACCACTTATACATAGACTTTATAATTAAAATCAGTGCACTTTTTAATTAAAATATTATATACTATATATTAAACATAATGTTTACTTATAAAAATACAGCATAATAAGACTAAGAACAGCAAAAAAGTGTTAAAGTTGGGGCCTACTGGTCAGTCACTGCTGGTCAGTCTCGGGCCTGTCTCTGTCTTGACTTGGTCTCAGCGCGTGCCGGTGTAGCCGAGTTCAACCTCAGCACTCTATAACAGCGGGATCCAAGCTACTCTGCTTCTTGTAGCTGTCCCCTCCTTCTTTGTAAATATGGATTTTTGATGAATCGTTGTGAGTGTTAGTTAAGAGACACATAAGGGGCCAGCAGGTGGCATAGTGGTCAAGGCCATGGACTCCTGTGTATTTGACTGTGGTTCTAGTCCCAGACCTAGTGATTTGAAACTTCTGCTGGGCATGTGTATGTGCATGCCCAAAATCTGGAGAGGAGAATGGAAGAGATGGAATTGTGGCATGGCCATTCTTCTGGGGAATGATTTGTCACTTCTCTGTCTCTTCATCGCTCCACCAAGCACATGTGCCCTATAGCAAATAAACTCTCAAAAACAAAAAACAAAAACCACAAAACTCAGTTACTTTGCTAGATAACCCTTGTTTTCACGATCGTCTCAGGGGATTATTTCTGCAGGGTTGTAAGGTTTTTCTAAACCTTTTGATCTCAAGGTATTGTTAAGTGAGTTGTTGCAGTAGTTGCAAATGGTAGAGGTCCTGAGTATCAGGTTACAGTTTTATTTACAATACATGCAGAGATGGAATTTTATTTTTTCAGTTTTTGAAGTCATTAAACATTTATTAAAACCAAAAAGCAATTGCTGGACAATTGCTGTATAGTACTTTGGGATTTTAAAATGCCTAGTTTGGGCCATCAGGTGATATGTTGGTCAAGGCACTGGATGCCACATAACTGACTCTATGGTTCGCATCCTGGATATGGCAGCTTAAAAAACACAGAGGGTGAATGTGCGTGTGTGCCTGAAATTCCAAGCGGAGAAGGAATTGCGGTGTGGCCATCCATCCTGGGGGAGATTTCTCACTTTCCACCGCTGTCTCTCTCTGGAGAGCAAATGCGCCCCATGGCAAAAACCTAAAATTAAAAAATAAAATAAAGTAAGTGCCTATGTTGAAATCACTCCTCTGCAATATAAGTTTAAAACAGCATGGCCCGAGTTACTTCACACTGCACAAATTTAAGTTTTAGCTGTGCAGGTCATTTTCAGGTTTGCACTCTGACAGTACGTTATGTGTGTCTGTGCGTGACCGTGGTTCTTTACGGTCCATGCCTGGAAGTATGACTCCCGTGACCTGATTTTTCTCTCTGGTCAGTACTGTACTTCAGTAGACTAAGTCTTTGTATACGTAGGCTTATTGCGTGGTATTTCAGGGTCCTTTGAATTGGAAGTGTGTATTATGCTTTTGCTAAGGTTGAGGTCATGTCACTTGTTACTGTTCACGTCATCTCCCTGGGATGGCCTCAGTTTCCTTTAGAACATTCGAGCCAGCTGAATCCCATTCGTACTGGACCTCCGTTTGACACAGGGTCACAAAGAAGATGGCATTTTCTAAGCATGTTATTACTTTGCTATGATTTAATTCTTAAAATGTTTAAATCCAGTGATATCCACCTGATTTCTTTTTGAAATGCTTAGTGTCCTTGATAAAAGGATAATTTTTATCTTTATTTAAATCTTTCAAATCATTTGATTATTATTGAAAGTAAATACTAGAATGCTTTCCACAAATCATTTGATTATTATTGAAAGTAAATACGGAATGCTTTCTGTTCATCCTCCATTTTTACCATTCTGTGTATATACGGTTACTTTTGCTTTCACGGGTAAGCAAAAGGCATGTGACCCTTGGCCAGGAGTAGCAGAAACTTGCACATGCAGTCATGTGCCATGTAACCAGCCAATAGCAAGTCCAAGTACGGTTGGGTCCTATCTGGAGCACATGGTGTGTCCCATACAGCTATGCTCAGAAGGCAGCCTCATTGTTAAGCTAGATTTGACTGTATGAGAACACCTCAGAAGAAAGCGACCGAATGAAATGTGGACTTTGGAAGATAGTTCTGCTTTATTATTGAGGAGAAAAAGTTTTTTTAAGAATTACTTTATTGGGACCAGCAGTTAGCGTAATGGGTATGTTGCTAGACTCCCACGTAGTCGACCGCGGTTCGAGTCCCAGACCTGGTGGCTTAAACTCACGCCAGGCTCGTGTGTGTGTGTGCCCAAGATCGCGAGAGGAGAATGGAGGAGAAGGGATTGCGATGTGGCCATCCCTCCTGGGGGGTGATTTCTCGCTTTCTGTCTCTCTGTCTCTCTGTCTCTCTGTCTCTCTCTCTCTCTCTGGCAAGCGCATGCACCCTATAGCAAAAACCTCTCAAAAAAATTACTTTATTTTACGTTATTTATCCATTTATTTTGTTATTTTAATTTGG